TGAACAATTACAAACATGAGTGAAACAAAATAGAAAGGGTAAGCAAAAATTAGAGTCTCCACAAAGAAGTAGAAGACATAGAAAAGAAACAATGGCACTTCTAGAAGTGAAAAATATAATAATTTAAATGAAAACTCATTCAATGGGTTCAACAGCAGAATGGAGACAACAGAAAAAAAATAAACTTGAAGATAGAACAAAAGAAATTACCCAAACTGAACAAAAGAAAGAAAACAGATTAAACTATGAACAACTATCTGCCAACTAACTGGACAATCAAGAAGAAATGGATAAATTCTTACCCAGCCTAAATCAAGAAGAAAATAAAATACATAGTTTTCAATGCTGAAACAACTGGAAACCCAGAATTTGGTATCAAACAAGAAGACCCTTCAGAAATTCAAGGGAAATCAAGGCATTCTCATAATACCTGGTAACTAAACAACATTGTTCTATATAATTCATAGGTCAAACATAAAATCTCTAAGAAAATTAAAAATTATATTGAACTACATGGAAAGGAAAACATATCAAAAGTCATGAGACACAACTAAATCAGTGCTAAAAGGGAAACTAATAGCACTAAATGCTTACATTTGAAAACAGAAATAGTCTCAAATCAATAGTCTAAGCTCCCACCTCCAGAAATTAGGTAAAAAGCAAAATAAACACAAAGCGAGCAAAAGGAAGAAATAATAAAGTACAGAAATCAATTAAATTGAAAACAGAAAGATGATAGTCAATGAAATGTAAAACTTACTCTCTGAAAAGATGAATAAAGCTGATAAACCTCTAACAAGTCTGACAAAGAAAAAAGAGAGTAAGATACCCAGCCTGCAGATATCAAAGGGATGGATAGTAAGAGAATAATATGAACATACTTAAATTTGACAGATGAAATAGATAAATTTCTTGGAAAGTACAAACAACTACAACATGCCCAATATAAAACAGGTAATGTGAATAGTCCTATAACTATTAAATAAATCAAATTCATAATTTTAAAACTCCCCCCAAAATTAAATAAAGATTATTAGGCAAAGAGTTTGGCATATTGACTGGCACATTAGCTAGTATGCAATAAACAAGGGCCATTATCATTTTATGTAAGTCATCACAACCCCTCTCTGGGAAATTGAGGTTGCATAGAGATGAAATCCTTTTAAAATGTAACAGAGTCAGAATTTGAACCTAGATCTAAGCCAGAATCATTTTCTTCCGAGTTTATAGTCCATGCCACAGCTATCCCCTTAGGGATGTGCCAACCAATACTTCCTTCATAGATAGGAAAACTGTAAAAGGGTGAGGTTTTGCCAAAGCCCCAGGCATCAATAATTGCTTGCCAACTAACTTTCCTCACCAGTGTAGAGAGCAGTGATTCTCAAAAGTTAGAGTGCATCAGAATCTACCTGTTTGTTAAAATATAGATGGCTGTGTCCCAGCCTAAGAATTGGCATTTTTAACAAATTCCCAGTTAATCAATCACACTTTGAGAACAGTCATGTACAGTAATGATATGTTAGCCCACTAATTCCTCAACATCAGAAGCTGTCATACTCCATAGAAAGGGAAGGAATTAAGACAGAATAATGCTCTAAATCAGTGCTTCTGAAGGTGGCCCCCACTTACCCCCTGTATCAGAAACCCTGCATGTGGAGCCTATTTATCCTGTCTTTTAATGGGTCTTCCAAGTGATTCTGATGCACACTAAAGCTTGAGAACAACTGCTCTACAAATCAAAGTGTTTTGTAAAACCCAGCCCTTTATAGTAGGAGGAATGGAGCTACACCATCTTTTCCCACTTTGGGGAACCTAGGCTTTAGAGCCAGATTATTCTAAATTCAAAACATTTAACTTAAACTAATCTCCATGAATTCCAGATTCTCATCAGCAAAACGGAATAGTCACTTTCCTTGCTATAACCTTTCCAGGAAGTAATGTGGCATTATTAACCCCTAATTAGACTTTAAGAAGCCTAGCCTATGGAAGTCATCAGAGATGTGAAAAGGTTTAAATCACTTATATGTGGGCTTAACTACTGTGAGCAACCATGAAAAGTCCACTACATTGAGTAATTTTCAATTGTGCTGAAGTATAAACTTAAATGGAACACAGTGAGCCTGGTGTGTGTGTTTGAGCAATGTACTGAGCAAGCAAGAGCAGCCATGCACCAAGGACCTGATTCTCAGCTGGGCTTCTTGTTCTCTGGCAGTCCATAAAGACAAGCATGAGAAGAGATAAAAAAAAAAAACTTTCATAAAAAAATTGAGGCAGTTAACTTGTGTCAAGGTATGCACAAAAACACAAGACTCACCACAAAAATGTGATTAAGGAGGGGCCTGGCCCATAAACCTCTTTCCATATTTGTAAAATTTGGAATTTTTAAAGGCCTCAGTGGTGTTCCTTGTAAATGTCAAGCGTCTACTGCGCAATGATGTTCACAATGTTTTTCTTGTCATTTTAATCAGCACCCATATCAAAATGCAGAACATTTCCAGAACCTCCAGTTTCCTTCATATCACAATATTACTTATAATATAAAAAAGTAGAAATAACATAAGCATCTAACCACAGAGGAAATGACGGAGTAACCGAGGACACAAACGTATGGTGGAATATCAGAAATTGAGTTTAGATGAATATTTAAGGACCTGGTAAAACATTCACATTATAATGTTATGTACGAATAAAACTCAAGTTATAAAATGGTATTTATAATACAACCACATGTTGTAAAAATATATGTTTATATTCTAAGTCAAATGATGGGAGTTAATGCAACAAAAAACTTAATAGTGGATTGTGCTAGATAGTAGACTCATAGGTGATTTTTATTTCCTTCTTTATTCTTTGTATTTTCTATAATGAGCATGTTGCAACTATACAATGAGGAAAAGTTTATAAAACATTATTTAAAAAGAAATATATAACATTCAGGTTTGAATGTGGATTGAGATAACTTATGCAAAGTCTTATCATTGGCCTGGCACATAGTAAACACTAAAAAAGCATTCATTCCTATTTCTTATTTCCAGACTGTGAAATTAGGGTCTCTATATTGTGGGCAATAGTTCACTTTACAGGTTTGATCCTACACACTTCCCACACAATCCAAAGCAAGGGCCACATGGAATAGCTCTTTACATGAAAATTCATTCACTTCATTAAAAAATGTAAGGAGGTAGGGAGAGAGCAAATTGGGTAAAGAGGGTCAACAATATGGTAACAAAAGGAAACTAGACATCTGGTGGTAAGCACACAATAGAATATACAGATATTGAATTACAATGTACAGCTGAAATTTATATAATGTTATTAACCAATATTACTTCAACAAATTTAATTTAAAAATATATTCAGCCTCTATTACATGTTTAGCACTGAAGTAGGTTCTGGGGATACCAAAAACGAAAAGATGACATGACTGCCCTCAGGTAGCTCTGGCTAATGAGTGACACAGATGTATTTATAACTAGAATATAACAAAATAATTACTTTCAATAAGGATGTATACAAAGTGCAATGGGAAGCCAGAGGGAGAAAGCCATTTATAGAGAAGTTATGTTGTTAGTTGTAAAAGAGAAGTCATTAATGAAAATAGCATGTGCAAAGAGTCACAGAAAATTTGCAAAGACAAATTTTCCCACAACTGTAAGTACTTTAGTCTTGCTGGGACATAAAGAAGAAGGGAGGAATGGTGGGAAATGAGACTAAACAAGTAGATCACAAAAGGTCTTGTCTGTCACACAAAGAAGACTAAATTTTATTCTTTAGGGGAACCACCAAAAGACTCTTAAGCAGAGTGACTTGATCAGCACTATCAAAGACATCAGGAATCCTGAAAGACATCTTATTTCCCAGTTATTTTCAGGGGTAAGGAAAAGGACCCACCTTCTATGTCTGTCCCCTTTCAAATGAAATAACATGAGGCAATAAACAGAACTCTGCACCTAGCACAAAGCGAATACTCAATAGAAATCACTAATATGAATTTGGATGTGCTGCATGTGGCAGTCCCTACTGAGAGTAGAATCTTAACAACACCAGCACCTTCACTTTGGTCTTGGGTGTGATAACAGGAACAGCTCCTTTGGAAGGGACTAGTGACAACTGAAAATTCTAGAATCTAACAACATGCAACAAGCAGGAGGAGGGTGCCATATACTGTTTTGCTGTACTCCAGTGTACAAATCCCTCTCATGGTTTTCTTTCCATAGCTGGGATTTAAGTCCCAATAATGGGATAATATTACAGTTTTATTCCACACACAAACCTCTCTGGAATCCTAGATGACAGGTGCTCATGTGCACACATGGTAAACTGGCGGGAATTCACTAGTGATTTTTTTTCCTGCTGTTTTACCCAATATCTCTTCTGCTTAATTCAATTTAGTTGGATGGTACTGCAAATAAATACTATAGAAATAAAATACTGCTACATTTCTACCTCCATTTACTGAGTGCACACAAAATGCTTCAAATAACCAGGAAGGATGTGTTAGATGTGTTTTATGGATGAAGACATTGAGGCTCAGAGAGGCAAAGCAACTTGCCCAAGGTAACCTGCCATAACAAGCTGCAAAGTCGGAACTCAAATCCATGCCGGAACTCAAATCTATGTTTGTTGGACTCAAACATATAAAAAATGTATCAGTTTCCTCCAAAGCCAGAGTGTGAAGTAAAACAAAATTGCCAGAATACAAAAATGATACTTTGTGGCTGGAAAGAAAATAGTTTCTAAATAGAAAAAGAAAAAAGAAAGATACAAAGAAAAATACTTATAGGAAAAGAGAAAGAGGAGAAATCAGGAGCCAATGACAGCTAGACGCTAGTCTGCAAGGAGGGATGGAAAAACCTGGGTCTGGGAGGTGGATTAGACTTAAATCTGTGGGAAAGAGTGGGGAAAGTTTCTGTCTGAGTGGGAACCTGAAACAGAGCTGAGAAAGAAGCGACTGAACACCTGACCACTGCACCCTGTCCCACCTGGCCTGCCTTCCTTACCTGCCATGAAACCAGTCCTGGCACATGTCACACTCGATCATGAAGCGGGTCACATCATAAGGCAGCCGGCAAAGGCAATACACCGGCACTGTGGCCATCTTCGCCTGGCCCTGGAGCGTTCTGTGGAGAGCCAGGTTCTGAGTGTCCACAGGAGTGGGAGGCAACAGCTCTTGTCCTTCCTGGACGACGGCTGGGCACAAAAAAAAAAAAAAGGAAAGAAAAGAAACACTTTTTTACAAAGTAAATCAGGTGCCCCAGGGTACCAGCCCTCAATTCACAAATGGGGAGTTACCACAGCCGGATGCAACACAAGGGGTGTGGCTGTAGGGGGCAATCTGAGAAAGTCCACCAGCCTCCAGAATAGCTTTAACAAATAAAGAAGGGCTCTATGCCCAGGAAGCTGCCCCCACCCCCTTCGGGCCCCCAGAGTCATTGAGAATTTCTCTCTGGGCTTTAGGGAAATATCTGACGCCCTTAGGGAAGCTTCTTTAATCCCTCACTGAACCCTCTCCTTGCTCAAAACCTTGCTTCCCAGAGTGCTTTTTATGATGACGCCAGAATGAGGCTGGGGGAGCCCCGCAAAAGACCCTTCTCTCTGCCCCCAAATAGGGACAAATGGAGAGAGATGAGTCCATGGATATGGACTCAGATTACTCGCAAATTATCCCGCTGCCTTCAGAAAGAACGCCGAAGCGCCCAACTCAAATCACAGTTCTGGGGTCTTGTTATAAGAACTCTCTCAATCATTCCACCCCTGACCAGTCAGGAGCATCATAACCACAACAAATGAAATAAATCTCAATTACAAAACTCATCAGCTCATCCTCTATTGCAAACATGACCGGGATCTCATCGCACCCCGAAACTAAAAAGGGTCACTTCGAACCCCCCGAAACTGACTACAATTTCCTCACACTCGCGCAACTGGGCAAGAATTTGTTTTCTTTCCACCGCCCTGAAACTGGCAGGCACCTCCTCCCAGCCCCCTCAAATTGTCGAGATCTCCCCATCGCCCAAAACTGACCAGGATCTCCTCACAGATCCAGAAACTGACAGGAATATTCTTGCAGCCCCAAAACTTACGAGAATCTCTTAACAGCTCCCAAACTGACAGGAGCCTCCTCACGCCCCCAACCTGACAAGAATGTCTACGGTCCCGAGTCCTAGAGGGACCTCCGCATCCGCAAAGCTACAGGGGTTCCAACACCCCGCGGAGCTCAGTCCCACTGAAGCGCCAGCGGCCGGGCTCGCTCCGGGACGTTGGACGCCTAGCTCCACGGAGGCTCGGCGGCAGTTCCGGCCCCACCGGCGGCGCGCGCGCCGACTTCTGGGATTGTCACAGTATCGCCGCAAACCTTGCTCGTCAGCCCCTGCGACCACCCGCTGGGTCACTCAGCCCGGCGACGCTTCCGGGCAGTTTTCTCCACAGCTCCTCCCCGGGGCCGGTCCTTAGGGCCTACTGGAGACCGTGGCTCGGGCCTAGTCCGGCGGGCACCTGGAGACCAGACAAGCGTCGTCGTCGCTGGGCCGGCAGGGGCTCGCTGCAAAAAAAAAAAAAAAAAAACAAGGAAGGAGAGGAAACGGTAGCCAATGTGGAGGAAAAATGGCCCAAAAAGTCGCCAGGAGAAGCCCGGCAGCGGTGGGAGGCAATTCCAAGTAGTCAATAAAGTTTATTCAAAACAACGAGGAAGTTGAAGCGAAGAGGGGGAGGAGATGTACGGGGTAAACAGATACCATATTGAGAGTGGCGGCGCTGCCGCAAGGAGGCGACCCTACCGCCATCTTATGAGGGCCGGGCAAGCGAAGGCCGGGCGGCTGAAGCCGGGGAGAGAGGGCTGCTGGCTCCCGCGGAACGTCATCGGGGCGGGGCGCGGCCTTGAGAAAGCGGGGCGAGACTCGGCTACTTCTGGACCCGCTTGTCAACTCTAGGTGCCCAATGCACACTGAGGACTTTGAGCTGAGAGGCGGGGAAGCCGCCATCTTAGATGAGGCGGCCGCTTGGCTCCATTTTGCGTGGGGCCGGAACGTTCCTTGGCTTCCCCCTCCGCCGGGCAAGCGGGGAATTTACCATCTCCACACATGCATTCTTCCAACCTCTCCTCCTGTGAGGGGAGGGGAGCTCTGTGACTGCAAACTGCAAAACGAAGAGGTGGCAGCGGGGTCTGGCTTCGGCCAGGCAAGAGGTGCGGTATTCACCTCGGTTCCCGTTCAGTGAGGTCCTTTGCAGACGGAGTTCTTTAACACGGTCTCCGAATCATGTATTCTTCACCCAGTGAGGGAGCTCTGTTATTATCCCCAAAATGAGGACACGGGTTTAGGGATGAGTTGCATTTCAGAGCTGGGAAATTGAACCCTACACCCTCTACTTATCCCCGGTCCTCGATCCCACGTTGCTCCATATAGCTTCTGTCAACTCCTCAGCCCTCTCAGAACTCTCTCCTCTGACCCCATTGCTTCGCTTCAGTTCAGATACAGTTCAAATACTTTCCTGCACATGTCCCACGATTGTCTGACTCACTCCGAGGATGGTGGGAGAAGAGGTTGAATGAATGGAACTCCACACACCTGCTTCAAGATGGCGCTGGTTCTCTCAGTCATTTCAGGATATTCTCCAGGAATCCTCTTAACAATTTCATTTTCTTAAAGGGTACCACACTTTAAAAAAAAAGACAATAGGTGTGTACACACCAGTTTTCTAAATGATGGTGGGTTAGGCCCTGGAGACACAATGATGAAAAGAGGAGCTCTGCAGTGAGAAATTGCCAACTAGTGCAGAAAACAAGCTTTGTAAGTAAACAATTGGAATAAACGTCCAGTAAGCATACAGATACCTTTTACAAAGTGGAAAATAAAGTTAAGAAAGTGCCTCTGCTTTCTGCTGTCGAGAAATATTTCAGAGATACTTGGAGAATACATAAAAATGAACTAAATTAGCATTGTAGATAAAAGGATCAACAAGTAGAAATGCATGGAGACACATGGGAAAACATTTTCAAAATTAATTTGAGTATTAGATTTTATCCTACAAACAATAACAAACCACTAAAGGTTTTTAAGCAAGAGCAGCTGAGCCACATTTGTGTCTTGGCCAGTGGAAAATTCAGATTTAGTGGGACGTGAAGCTTACAGAGTGTATGAAAAAGGGCTCCTTTAAAAAAAATACACAGCCCTGGCTGGTGTGGCTCAGTGGATTGAGTGCCAGCCTGAGAACCAAAGGGTTACTGGTTTGATTCCCAATTGGAGCCCATGCCTAGGTTCCCAGGCAGGTCCCCAGTAGGGGGGCACATAAGAAGCAGCCACACTTTGATGTTTCTCCCCCTTTTTTCTGCCTTCCCTTCTTTCTAAAAACAAATAAATCTTTTTTTTACAAATATATCTTTTTTTTAAAAATACCCACTTACAAATGCAAAATTAGGTTCAAAGGGTAGACAGTAAGAATATCTCTAGAAGTCATTCTGGGTAGTAACTATAAATAGAAGTTATATAGACCACATATAAATGTTAGGGTGGTCAGCAACAGGGGCTGTGAAAGAATTCACAAAGAGAAGAAAGTGCAGAGAGTAAAGGTTTTATTTTTACTTTCCCAAGGGAGGGAAAGGGCTAGGTATGGAAATATGCACCAGCACCAACACAGAGGGGTTAGGGCTTTGAGTTTTTATCGGGTAATGCAGTGGTTGTAGAGCAGGATGTTTCAGTTAGGCTACAACTTCTTTCAATATTATCTTTGGGTACAGGGTCCTGGTCGTCACTGTGGCCTGGTATGTCCTGTTTCGCAAGTTCCCAGAGCCTCTGCACCTTCAGGGTGCTTCCAGTAATTTTCTAGCCCTGAGTATAGAGGCTCATAAAACAATTAGGATCAGTCATGCTTTATAGGGTCCAGCCAGCTCTGGGAAAGAGGGCCTGAGAAAGTGGCTTTTGTCTTATTATTCCCTCCTCTGGTTTTTGCGATGAATTTATTCTTAATGACCTGGACCCATTCTGGTTCTGAGAAGCAAGGGACAAAGGTCTCTTCTGAAATTACTTCCTGCAGATTATGGATGTAGACTTCCTGTCCCTTCCTGTGGATCCCGGTATGGGTCATTAAGAGGGAGAGGGTGGAACTGGACAGCCTAAAAGGCAAGAGCTGTAGTTGGGGGTCACTTGCAAAAGAGTCTCCTAGAGCTTGGATGCTTCGTTGGATGAAAGGCATAAGGTATCTTAGAGACATGGCCCAAAAGCAACAACAAAGAGATGAGCTGCAATGGGACCTAGGAAAGGAGTCAGCCAGGGGGAAAAAAAAAACATAAAAAAACTGGACTAGATATTGGCCTTAAAAATCCCCAAAACAGAAAGGCAGAGTAGTAGGTAAATTCTGTATGGCTGACACGGTATCAGTAGCTCTCCATAATTCCAAGTCAAGGGATGAAAGAAAAAATGAAACATTAGGTTGGAAGAAAACTAGAAAATTAAGATTTAATTCAGTTTGTGGGTGACAATTAAACATTGTGATTTCTTTTTTATTTTATTTTAATCATTGTTCAATTACAGTTTTCACCTTTTTACTCCCAATCCAGCCCCCCCTCCCACCCTTCCCCACTTCCCTCCCATTACCACCCTCCCCTTAGTTTATGACCATGTGTCCTTTAAGTTTGTTCCCGTGAACCCTTCCCACTGTCCCCTTAAATTCCCTCTACTCTCTTCTGTGGGCACTGTCAGCCTGACCTCTATTTCAGTGTCTTTGGTTATATTTTGCTTGTTTCTTTGTTTTGTTGTTTAGGATCCTGTTAAAGGTGAGATCGTATGGTATTTGTCTTTCACTGCCTGGCTTGTTTCGCTTAGCATAATGCTTTCCAGCTCCATCCAAGCTGTTGCAAAGGGTAGGAGCTCCTTCTTTCTTTCTGCTGCATAGAATTCCATTGTGTAAATGTACCATAGTTTTTTGATCCATTCATTCACTGATGGGCATCTTGGTTGCTTCCAGCATCTAGCTATTGTAAGTTGTGCTGCTATGAACATTGGGATGCATAGGTTCTTTTGAACTGGTGTTTTAGGGTTCTTAGGATAGAGTCCCAGCAGTGGAATCGCAGGGTCAAAAGGCAGATCCATTTTTAGTTTTCTGAGGAAGTTCCATACTGCTTTCCATAGTGGTTGTACCAGTCTGCAGTCCCACCAACAGTGCACTAGGGATCCCTTTTCTCCACAACCTCTCCAACACTGGTTGTTTGTTGCTTTGTTTATGATGGCCATTCTGTCTGGTGTGAAGTGGTATCTCACTGTGGTTTTAATTTGCATCTCTCTGATAGCTAGCGATATTGAACATCGTTTAATGTGTCTTTGGATCTTCTGTATGTCTTCCTTGGAGAAGTGTCTGTTCAAGTCCTTTGCCCACTTTTTAATTGGATTCCTTGTCTTCTTAGAGTGCAGTCTTGTAAGTTCTTATATATGTTGGAGATTAAACCCTTGTCTGAGGTGTCATTGGCAAATATGTTTCCCCATACAGTTGGTGCTCTTTTAATTTTGATACTGTTTTCTTTAGGTGTGCAGAAGCTTTTAATTTTGATGAGGTCCCATTTGTTTATTCTTTCCTTTATGTCCCTTGCTCTAGGGGACAAGTCAGTAAAAAAGTTTCTGCGTGAAATATCTGAGATTTTCCTACCTACATTCTCCTCTAGGACTTTAATAGTGTCACGTTTTATATTTAAGTCTTTTATCCACCTTGAATTTATTTTTGTATATGGTGTAAGTTGGTGCTCAACTTTCATTTTTTTGTACGAGGCTGTCCAGTTCTCCCAACACCATTTGTTGAAGAGGCTATTTTTACTCCATTTTATGTTGCTGCCTCCTTTGTCAAATATTAATTGACCATAGAGACTTGGGTTTATTTCTGGGCTCTCTGTTCTGTTCCATTGGTCTATGTGCCTGTTTTTATGCCAGTACCAGGCTGTTTTGATTACAGTGGCCTTGTAGTATAGTTTAGTGTCGGGTATTGTGATCCCTCCTATTTTACTCTTCTTTCACAAAATTGCAGCAGCTATTCGGGGTCGTTTATAATTCCATATAAATTTTTGAAGTGTTTGTTCTATGTCTGTGAAATATGCCATTGGTACTTTAATGGGAATTGCATTGAATGTGTAAATTGCTTTGGGTAGTATGGACATTTTGATGATATTAATTCTTCCAATCCATGAACACGGTATATGTTTCCATTTGTTTGTGTCTTCCTTGATTTCTTTCCTGAGTGTTATATAGTTTCTGAATACAGGTCTTTTACCTCTTTGGTTAGGTTTATTCCTAGATATTTTATTTTTCTTTTTCCTATTTCTAATGGAATTTTTTCCTTGATCTCTGCTTCTGCTGTTTCATTCTTGGTGTACAGAAATGCCTTTGATTTCTGGATATTGACATTGTATCCCACTATTTTGCCAAATTCATTTATTAAGTCAAGCAGTTTTTTGGTAGAGTCTATAGGATTTTCTATGTATACTATCATGTCATCTGCAAACAGTGACAGTTTTGTTTCCTCCTTTCTGATACGGATGTCTTTTATTTCTTTTTCTTCTCTGATTGCTGTGGCTAAAACTTCCAGTACTATATTGAATAGAAGTGGTGAAAGTGGACAGCCTTGTCTTGTTCCTGATCTTAGTGGAAAAGATTTTAGTTTTTGCCCATTGAGTATGATGTTGGCTGTAGGTCTCTCATATATGGCCTTTATTATGTTGAGGAATGCTCCCTCTATTCCCACTTTGCCGAGTGTTTTTATCATGAATGGGTGCTGTACCTTATCAAATGCTTTTTCTGCATCAATTGATATAATCATGTCGTTTTTGTCTTTGCTTTTGTTTATGTGATGTATTACATTTACTGACTTTCGAATATTGAACCATCCTTGCATCCCTGGAATGAATCCCACTTGGTCATGGCGTATAATCTTTTTAATGTATTGTTGGATGCGGTTTGCCAGTATTTTGTTCAGGATTTTAGCATCAATGTTCATCAGTGATATTGGCCTGAAGTTTTCTTTCTTTGTTGTGTCTTTATCTGGTTTTGGAATTAGGATGATGTTGGCCTCATAAAAAGAGTTTGGGAGACTCCCATCTTTTTGGATTTTTGGGAATAGTCTGTGAAGGATAGGGGTTAGCTCTTCCTTAAATGCTTTGTAGAATTCTCCTATGAAACCATCTGGTCCAGGGCTTTTGTGTGTTGGGAATTTTTTGATTACTGCTTCAATTTCTTTTGCTGTTATTGGTCTGTTCAGACTTTCTGCTTCTTTTTCATTAAATATTGGAATATTATATTTTTGTAGAAATTTGTCCATTTCACCTAGGTTTTCAAATTTCTTGGCATACAGTTCTTTGTAGCTTTCGTACAATCCTTTGTATTTCTGTGGTATCTGTTGTAATCACTCCTCTTTCATTTCTGATTGTGTTTATTTGGGTCTTCTCTCTTTTTTTCTTGATGAGTCTGCTTAAAGGCTTGTCGATTTTGTTTATCTTTTCAAAGAACCAGCTCTTGGATTCATTGATCCTTAGAATTGTGCTTTTAGTCTCTATGTC